CATGCCATCTTTCACACAATGAGTCTTATAGCTTTTTAATCCCAGAAAAATTGATCAATTTCATTAATTACGGTATTAAGGTAATCATATTTAATTAATTCATAATACTGAGTTATGATATTATTTTATTATTTTTACATAATTAATAATATTTATAATTTTAAAATAAATTTAATCTATATAATTAAAAAAATTTAGAATATATATTTAAATATTTTAAAGATAATATCGCAATAAAAATATATAAAATATAAATATAATTTTATAAAAAATAAAATTTCCTATAATAAACTAAAAAAATAAAATTTTATATTTATAATTAACATACACTAATTTTATAAAAAAAATATTGAGTTTTAAATGTAGATAAAAATATTTATTTTTTGAGAAAAGAAATGAAAATAAAGAAATTTTGAGCTAATATATTCATTTGATATTTTGTAAGATTCTGTTGGATTTTAAAAAGCTTATAATTTACTCAGATTAGAAAATCCACGGAGTCTACCCAAATTTAATAAATTTTATATATTGATTTAAATAGATTTCTATAGATTTTATTTAAAATAAATTTATATAGATTATTTATATGAAATATATTTGTAAATTAAAAAATCAAATAATTAAATAAAAATACAAAAATATAATATAGTTAAAAAAAATATTAAATTTTTATTATTTTTATCTTGGTTCTAATCATCTTTATTTTCATCGCCATTCTATATATATTATATATAATTAATTATGTATAATCATTATAGTATAATACTATTTTTATATATTAATATCTTTAATTTTATATATTTTATTATATTATTATTCAATATATTAATTTATTTTAATTGATAGAATTTTAGCATAATTTTATTATATTTATATATATATTACTGTCTCCGTTCGGCTCTAAAAGTCTCATTTATATTTTTTCGTATTGATATTTGAATATAAATTATTATATTAAAATGTAGTACAAATTAAGAAAAATTTGAAAAAAAAAATTCGTTAGTGTTTTATACTACTAATTGAATGAAATTTGTACCAAAAAAATTATACAAATATAAAGGATATTTTTAATATTAAGTACAATAACGCAAGCAGACGGAGAGGGTATTACTTTAACGAATTTAATATGAAACGACAATGAGATAAAATAAATATGGAGATGAGTAATATCTCATTATCCCATTGCCACATGACTCAGGTTCAAATCCTCTCCATAAGAATAAATTTAAATTTTCCATTAAAAATATAAATGTGCTATTATATTTTAATTTTTAAAATTATTATTATTTTATTAAGATATTATAATAATATTAATAATTATTATCATACTATATCACTTATAATAATAATAATAATAATAATAATAATAATAATAATAATAATAATAATACTCCCTCCGTCCTAAGAAATATGAGACTATTACCGTATATGATTAAAGTGTATAATCATATTTTCAAAAAAAAGAAAGGACAAATTATTTGGGACCAAAATAAAAAATATTGTAAGACAAAGGGAGTAATATATTTTAAAGAATCATCAAAATATCTATTTGTCTGGAGAGATTTAATACTATACAATTTATACATAACTTTGTTGGGTATTTAATTAAATAGGTGAAAGAGAAATAAATTATTTGTCCCACATTCTATTTGATTAATTTATTTTATTTGAAAAATAAATAAATAATAATCAAATAAATAGTTTGTTGCAAATGCAACGTGCAGTAGAACGTGAGCAGTTTTTTCTTTACACGTGATTAAATACAAAATAAGTTGAAAAATATAATATATATATATATATATTATATTTTCCTCCCCTTTTTCGATGGAAGACGGAATATCAATTACAAAAAAAATCATTCTGAAAAATTTCTCTTCTATTGTAATTCGGTTTGTGGAATTTGTTATTCCGTTCCCAATTCGTTCTATCCTGGGAGGCGATCGATGGAAGATCGAATTTGCTTCAAGGAAATCGTATGCTACGCAAGGCTTGAATTTGATTTCGCATCTATCTGATTTTGTATTTTCGAATTTCGTCGCATCTCAGATTTTGCTAAATTATTTTCCAACAATCTTGAAGCGAACTCGTGAAATCTGAGATGATTGCTCAAACGATTTATGCACGCTTTTTGTGCACTGCTTGACGTTTCTCTCAATTCGATTCTAGAAAAGACGCGGAAGCCAATGGAATTGGTTTAGATAGGCGCAGATCTACTTTCTATTGCGTAAAAAAAAAAAAATCACGGCTGTCGCAGTTAGGGAGGAGAACAAGAGGTTAACTCCAACGAGTTTCACACTTCTGTTCTCTCTATTCCATGATCTCAACCACCCTGTCCAAACGGTGAGGCAGCCTGCTGCAAAAAAGGTTGCACCGGCAGCGTATGAACAAGGTCTTCAAGGCCGTGATGGAGGGAGCGAAACATGTTGTTGCCTCCCCCAACTACCCTATTGGTTGGAGGAAAAAATGGGATTTTATTGATACCCATGTGAAATAGCCTGTTGCTGTTCTGTCTCGTCCGCAACATATGGCTGTAGGACCTGCGCATGGTCTCGTTGCGTCTGCCATATAGCCACAAAATGACTTGATATACAGCCTATTGCTGTTGCGGACCATGTAACGCAGCCTGTCGCTGCAACTTTCACGCAGCCTGTTGTTGCGGCAATCGAGAAGCCATAAAAAATTCAATTGGTAGATTTTTTAAATATGACAGCGGAATATGTTGTTTTATCTGACGTTGAATGGACAGATTGGTTAATGGAGGCTGCACTTGTTGTGTCGGAACGACCTCAGAAGACCAAAAAAAAAAAAAAAAAACACAAATTCTGAAAGTCATGAAACACTCAGATTTGATGTGTAAAAAAAATCATATATTGAATGGCTTAAGCGACTCCCTATACCGGTGTCTGCCAGTATGTATTAGTGGCTAAGCTGTTGTGGGAGATATTGGAGAAGAGGCGAAATAGATTCGTCACTCTTTTAAAGAACATTCGAGAATGAGACAAACTTGTCTATGCCATAACCTTTTACTACGATAGTAAATCTGTTGTCGGCAGAACAGAAAGTACAATATACAATGGAAAGAGTCGACACATTCGCCGTCGATACAATTCCATAAGATAACTGAACACAACTAAGGTTATTACGATAGACCATATTATGTCAAAAGATAACCTAGCGGATCCGTTAATCAAATGGTTAAACCATGATGCAATTTACAAACTGACTAGAGGAATGGGCTAAAGTCTGCTGAGAAAAAAGTTTTATAAAAGAAAACCCAACCTAGAAAGATTGGAGATCCCAAAAACTAGGTTCAATGTAAGACTTGTGTGCGTCACTGTGGGGGCTTGTGGGGGCTAATAGCCTCAACCCATTCCTGTCAACGAATAGTGACAGAGTAAAGATGATAGTAAATAATTGTTTTAAAGATGATAGCAAATAATTATTTTAATGATTACTAAGTGAGTATTGTATTACTTAGAAACTTAGAAAATCACCTATCTGAGAAAGAATTGTCCAGACTCAGTTCTTTAGAAACTTTCGCAGAACCAGGATGTGTTTCATGGCCAAAACGGACCAAACAATGAGAACCAAATTAGACACATGAATTTTGTGTCGGTATGTAGCCCATTTACTAGAAAATTGAACAGTTCAAGAACAACGTGTCCACTGGATAATTGGTAAAGACTATGTATTGTTCAAGAGGAAGTTCAAAGGAAATCCTACTTATCTTATACAGAATTCATCTTTCTTTCTTTAATCGAGTCATTGTTTTCCTCTTTCATGTGGGGATTGTTGGATATTTAATTAAATAGGTGAAAGAACAATAAATCATTTGTCTCACCTTTTATTTGATTAATTTATTTTATTTGAAAAATAAATAAATAAATAATCAAATAAATAGTTTGTTGCAACTGAATGCAACGTGTAGTAGAACGTGGACAATTTTTTTTCTACACGTGATTAAATATAAAATAAGTTAAAAAATATAATATATATATTATATTTTCCTCCCCTTTTTTGATGGAAGACGAAATATCAATTACAAAAAATTCATTCTGAAAAATTTCTCTCCTATTCTAATTCGGTTTGCATAAGCTGTTATTTCGTTCCCAAGTTGTTCTATCCTGGAAGACGATCGGTGAGTGTCGAATTCGATTCAAGAAAATCGCATGCTACGCAATGTTCGAATTTGATTTTCAGATATCGCCGCATCTCAGATTTTGTTAAATTATTTTCCAACAAACTTTCCACTAAAATTTAATAGAATTTACGGATTTTAAAAATAGCGTGGATTGAATACTTTTAATTTTAAATAACTTTTAAAATTTTGGATGAAATACATTCAAATTTTTAAAAGTACATAATTTTACAAAGTAATATATTAAATTAAAAAAATAAATATCATAGGTAAATTATTAAATATATTTATATTAGGTATGAGACCCACACTCATTATTATTACCTGACTTAGCAATCTATTGTAATTTTTAATTATTGTCCCATTTTGAACACGGGCACGAGCGTGTTTGTTTTATACTAGTCCGTGTTGGTATAAATACAGTGATATATTATTTCATTGAAACACGGCCATATTTGTTCCAAATTGTTTGCCACATCAGCTTTCGTTATGGCCACATCAGCCGATTCTGTTGAAATTTAAACAGTGAGACCAAAAATAATAATTTATTTTTTCAATAAAATCAATTTTCATAATTATTTTTGGATAAAACCAAAAATAAAAAAAAAAAATTGATTAAAATCAAAATTGATTTTTACTCTAAAAAATAATATTTAAATAAAATTTCAAATTACTATTTATTTCAAATTTTTTAATAAGCAACTAAACAGCCCTTTTATTTCGGTCAAACTTTTTAGAGAAACCCCACTACTTGTGAACTGTGAATCAAATCGTCGCCAATTTACTCCCGCCGCTACGTGAATTTACAGTTTTAGCCTTCACATCGATTTTTTTTTGTCTTTTATTTATTTTGTTTTATTTTGTGTTTTCATTTTTATACTGTGAATTTGAGGTGTATTTCTGGCCCGGCCATGGCGTTTTCAGTCGTGTAATCGTCACAAACCCTCGGCTACTTTGTTATCCGTGGAGTGTCGAAGAATTCATTGAAGCAAGAACAAGGTTTGGGGAGTTATATAAATTGTTTTATTTTTTTATTTCGAATTTTGCTCGTCTATTTAGGTTGTCGAATCCAAACGCAGATTCGGAACGGCGTGGTTTGTTTGTTGCTTCGTTGTTTGATCTACATTTTTTGGGTTGATTGTATTTCGTTTTCTTGAAATGGATTATGAGTTTTATGTTTCTTGGAGGATTTGGAATAAATTGAGTTTTGATTGTGGAATCTTGTATGCTTATATGTGCTCTGATTACTTTCTGCTCTGCTATCTTTTTCTACTGATTTCTCTCCAAACTACTGAAGATTTTGATTACGAATACTATGATTAGGTTTTCATTTGCGCGTGAATAATGCTCTATATATTGCATATGAACACACACACACATATATATATTTATACATGAATATTTATAATGTGGTTTCTTCAAGTATTATATGATGTTGAGATTTGGGATTTCTGAATGATTGAATCTACAGGTGGAAGATGGTGTTTTTTGGCTAAAACTTTTGAAACTGTTCTCTGAAGCATCGATTCACACTAGTTTTATTGCCTTGCAGATTATGGATCAGATGGATATTGATCATGTTTATGACGTTCCCGACACACCACCGAATAGAATCTCTTCACCAAGGATTAGTGGGAGGAGGATTGTTCCGGGGGAAAGTAATCGGTTATCATCGATGCCGCGACCATCAGGACAACAAACCTGTCTTGTGGGTTCTGAAGAAGAGCCAATGGTCATTGACAGTGGAAGCAGAAGGCACCTGCGCCCTCAGAGAAGCTCGTCTTCGGTAAATGGTGGCCTATTCCGAAGAGGGATGTCAGATAAACCTAATCACATAAACCAAAATTCTATTCATGCTCGACAACGAAGATCTGTTAGGCTTCCACCGCAAAGTTTTGGTTCTACTTCTCAAGATGATAGTTTTGTAGATCTGACAGAAAGTCCACATAAGACTTCCTTTAACGGACTACCCAACGACAATCCAGCAATTGATGGTGCTTCTTTGCATGGCGTTGCAACATTTTTGATTGAAGAAACTGGTAGTGTGAATGGAGTTGGTTCCGGTATCCATTATACAGAAGGGATTGATGGAAGTGCCCAAAATGAACCTGGTAATGGTAATTTTCTGTCTCGTGGTCACATTGCCCCACCTAAAGTAAATCGACAAAAGAGATTGGTCCGAAATGGATGTATATCTCCCAATAACATAGCCAAAGGCAAGCAGTTAGCTGGGATGAATGCTGATGGTTCTGAGGATTTAGCGCATAACAATTGTGAAGACAATGCTGTCAGGGAAATGGTTGCTGAAGACAATGATTCTTTTTCACGGAAGGGTAAAGGAATTATGACTAATCCCTCTGCATCCATGGCACGTCATTTGAGGCACAACAATTTGCATGACAGGTATGTCATTGGTCTATGTTGATTTTAATGTGTACTATCGGTGTTACTATTTTTTTGTTCTGTATTCAGCAAAGTTTTGCCTTCTATTTACGATATTTTAGCACCTATGATTGTAATGTAGGGGATCCTAATATAGCAGTGAATAGGTCAAAATTTTTAGGGATTATCATTAAATCCAAGATAGAAGAAAAGGAGATGTCCCCATTCCCCCGAAAAATTCAGAACCTAAGTATGATTTTATGATCAAAGGGCTACGTGCGTGGAGAATTTTTTGTTTCCTTAGATTTTTATTTGTGGATGTTATAAATTATATGATTTCATATTACTTGGTAGTTTACTGCATTTTTTATGCTCAAACTGTTCTTCCCCCCGTCCCCAAACTTCTGTGTTTGTGTGTATATCTTCTAATGTGTATATATATTTGTGTATCTAAAAGACTGTAAATATAAGCACGATCCTCTGTAACCTTTTGGTGTTGATGCGGAGATCGTGTAATGGTCAGTAAGTTTCAAGCCATCCAGATTGAATGTGGACACACTTTGAATTGTTCCTTATACATGCATGTGTCACACAGTTTCTCAATACCCTAAATGGGTTGAAATTTTTTACACAATGCTTAATTGACTTCCAATTTGCAGGAGCTATTTGAGTTCTAATGTGATGCCTATGGGACCCAACGATTCTATTACACATACAGGTAATGATATTATAGAATCACATGGTTGGAGAAGCACTCGTAATCAGAGAAAAGGAATTTATATATCATCGTCAGCTGATAGAGAACAAATTTCAGTTGGGGAGGCAGATGGCCCTAGGTATTCTAGTCAACACCAAGAAAGTAGGTTGGGGAGAAAGGATAAAGGACCGAATTCTCTAGATGCTAATGATTATCCAGATGTTCAAAATTTGGTATCTCCTGAGCATGTTCATCCTCAACACTTTACAGAATCACTGCTCCATCGAAGAGTTATGGTGGAGCAATTAAACGAGTCACATTCTGCATCAGACTCAGTTGTTAGGAGGCAGAGGCAGAAGCCGCGGCAGAGGCAAAGGCAGAGGCAGGGAGCTGCCTCTAGTAACTGTGCTGAATCTTCTACACCAGTATCGAATGATCCAGAGATTGTGTGCCTTAATTCATCTGCAGAAGCTTCCGGACCAACATATACTTCTAGTTGGGACAATTTACATGGCATTGTCGAAGTTGAAGAATCAACTCCTAGTGCCGAGGATGAAGATGCTAGAGCAAGGCAGGTTGAAGCAGATGAGCAATTGGCTCGTGAGCTTCAAGAGCAACTCTACAATGAATTTCCTGTTTTTGGAGTTGGGGAGGTTCTTTTTTTATATGTCTCAATATCTAATATTCTTCAACTATGATGAAACGATTAAATCTTATTTATTTAGCCATACCTTTCCATCTCAATAGCAGGTAGATGCGCATGCGGCACCAGCATTTCAGCTCCAAGATGATTCAATCCATGGTGTTTTTGAGGTAAAAAACCTCTGTTTATTGGTTGCAATCAGTTTGCTTGTCAACAATCTAGCGTTATTGGTGTTTAACTTCACATTTGGTGTTTAACTTCACATTTTGTGCCGTGTGACTTATTTGACTTTTTAGGATGCTAACCTTCTGATCGGCATGATCTTACTGGTTGAAACTCAGACCTCAGTTGATTTGATTTGCTAGTTTAGATTTTCTTTTTTTAAGCATTAACTAATTGAACGCCCAAGTGTTGTACTTATATCAACCTTTCGTTTGTGCCTGAAACTTAATGTTTTGTCCAGAGAGGGTTGTCAAGAGCCAGGATGCCTACACTACCCCCATCTCGCTCTACTTCCAATGCTCCTCGTAGAGGAGCTCCATCTCGTGGCTCTACATCAGGAAGAATGACAAGGTTGAGGAGTCGTTTTGCTGGACAACCACGTGGCATATTACCAACTAGAGCTAGAAGAGCCCCCTCCTTCCCTGCAGAAATGGATTTAGATACGGTAGTATTTCATTCCCCCTTGTTAACTTCATCCGTTCTTATGTGGCATTTATCTTTTTAAATCTTAAATCTCTCCTAGTGTAATTAAGTGATGAATTTAGACCGCCATATGAGACTGATGCAATAATGTAGTAACAATGATATTTAAAACACCCCGCCCCCCAAAAAAATAAAAAATAAAAAAAATTAAGAATAAGGCACTTGTTTGATGAGAACAAAGAATAATGCCTTCTCTCTATATGTTCGTCGAGCTTTCTTCATATGGTGATCATGAATGAGGTATCATCAATCGTAGAGACTACTTAGATATCTCCAAGTTTTCCTTTTAAGCACCAAAATATCTCTTGTATTGGACGCTGCGGCATATGCAGCTATGCTTGTAAGAAGTCTGATATTGAATTGGATGAATGTTCTATTCTGTTACTGTTTCTGGCTCGATACATGGAGAAATGAGGGTGCGCGAGTTATGTTTGTTCGTTTCTGGTCTTTGCTGCTTACACAAGAATACTACTTGGCTTTTTGAAGAAATACTATTGGTTAAAATTTGTTTCTGATATTTTATAATGTTTTTCTCGTATTTCTAGAGAATACATATACTGGGAGCACTGGAAGACTTCAGTAACATGGAAACAAGTGGCTTCCTTCCATTCGAGCAAGCTTTCAATGGGTAAGATATACATAATTATGATGTACGAATAAAACATATAAACAAACTAGTTGCTGTTCTGAGATCACTAAAATGCTATTTTTGGCTAGGAATGACTATGAATCGTTACTGGCACTTGACGAGAACAACGACCAGCACCGTGGCTCATCTACCCATCACATTAATAGCCTTCCGCAATCAACTGTTATGGTGATCATTATATCGCACTTGAATTAACAATTTCCGTGCTTTACTTTTGTATCTTTGCTCAAGCTGTCCATTTTTAATCTGCAGACTGATAATTTTGGTGAAGCCTGCGCCATTTGCCTCGAGACTCCTTCTATTGGAGATACTATCCGTCACCTCCCGTGCTTGCACAAATTTCACAAAGATGTACGCACCTTTACTAGTTATTTTTGCTACACTATCTGCCTTCGCTTTCGTCCTAGTGAATACATGCATGCATATATAAGACTATATATATATCATGAGTTGAAATCAATTAGAGCATGTACTGTGTAGAATTATGTCATGTTCTAATAGTTCATATGTAGAATAATGTGTTGTTTATAATTATATTGTGTTGTTTGTCAGCACACAATATGATGTCAGCATTATGCTGAATTATAAAATTCATCATAATTACAACTGCCCGTATATATATGATTGCGTATTCGTTCATACTCTATGCGCATGCTCTAGATTGTGTAATGTGTTTGTATCTTGTAAAAATGCTTGACGTCTGGCACATCTAAATTTGGCAGTGCATCGATGAATGGTTGAGGAGGAGAACATCTTGCCCTATTTGCAAGTCGTCCATAAATTGACATGGCCCTGGTGCCAATTGTCAAACCATAGTTGTTGTAGGATCACAGACAGGTATATCGAAAACCTTAATATGCGCTCATGGCTGAGCTTTGAAACTCATGAAGAGAATTTTCCTTTGTTGAAATCTGGTTGAGTACACTGAGATACATATATCGATACATGTATAGACAATGGTGAATATTTTTCACATAATCTTGTGGGATGAATTTGCATGGTTTACATATGCTTTTGTTTTTGTTCTATGGATGTCTTTTCAAAATTTACTTTTTCTTTCGAAAAAACAAAGTTAGTACTCCCTTTGTTTCACATACGGTGAAATATTTGGTTTCCCAATACTAGAATTTAGGTTGGTGGTATTAAGTTTATTTTTCTTATTTGAATGATGTGATAAGATAAAATGTAATTAATTATTTTTTATTTTAGAAATATTGCATTATACGTGAGACACCAAAATGAAAAATGTTTGCAATGTATGTGAGAGGGAGAGGGGATTTAATATAAAATAATTATAGTTAATAACTATTTTTATCGGCCGAACAAAAACACCAGTATCTATATATTGTCTAATCTGCAGATTTTCGGAGTCTTGTTTGCAACAACTATGACACGACAATTAGCACCAGGACGGTGTCATTTTATGGATGGCTGATGTCAAAACAAAATAAATCGTGTTTGAAAATGTCTTTTTCTATTAGAGCGAAAGGCTCTACTCTTCGTTACAATTATGTAGAATAATTTAGCAATACTAAAATCATCAACCATTTTAGTAGAATCTTGGAACCTCAACTAATAATAATGTATATCTATATATTTTACTCGTTGAAATCATGGTCGAATGGGAGGAAGTCACTTGTTCGATGCTACTCTAACTTTCCCCAACTCCAAAAACTCAAAATCCGCTGTAAAGTTGTTCTTGGTTCATAAGAAAGGGAACGGAGGCAAGGCGAAGAAAAATAGTATTTTTGTGTATGGTTAGGGAGGAGAGGGGAGGAAAAATAGAAATTTTTTATTATTTTACAGATATATTGCATAAATAAAACAAAATAAAAGTTATTCATAAAATGTGATACAAAATGTATTTGTCCAAATATAATTTTTTTTAAGTATTTTATTTGTGTTTTTAGTGCAAGATTGTATTGGGATTTAAGTTGAGACTCTTAAATGAATATTGTGTATGTATTAAAATTATTTTTGAAAGATAATAAGTTGTTTGTTTTTTTAAAAAATACTATTCATTCAAACTAAATTATATTAAAATCATTTATTAAAATATTATTATTATTATTATTATTATTATTATTATTATTATTATTATTATAGATATAATTATATGCTATATGATGTTAATTCACCAGATACAAAATATAATTCTTCATTTCTCTCCAATGGTATTACAAAATCAATACATACAAATTACAATCATCAAAATTTAATATATAACTATATTAACCAGCACAGATAAACAATAAATATTTATACTGAAAAGTTAAACCTAAAAAGTATTTTTTTTGAAAATTTAAACTTATTATTTTATATTGACAGAAAACTTCATATTTTGTCGGTACCTACAATAAAATGAAAATTATCTTCAAGAACCAGACGACAACGTGGATCGATTACACAAATCATTTCATCGATCGCGGTTACTTCTAATATCAAATAATAGTGAAGATAAATCGATCATACCTAAGTTCCGATCTCGTCTTCAATGGAACGTGGGTAGAATCAATTGTGAGCCCTAACAACGCCATTGTAGTCAACCAACAAAATTATTACAACAAAAAATATTCGAAGGCTGTGCTTCCTCTTACCCGTGTTTTCCTCGTGCGAAATAAACCTAAGAATTGTGATTTGGATTCGATATCGCCATTCCTATCAACCATGCTCAAATGAAACAGAAGGTTGGACAGAACTCCTTTACGCGAAAATAATCTAACGAGAAACACATTATACCAGAAATGATAAATAGATGTTTGGGAGAGAGAAGGACATTAATGTCATTACGATTGGTGTGGGGAGTTAGTGGTAATATTTATTAGAAAGTGAAGAGTGCAATGTGTGAAAATTATTGGTGGGGACTGAACTCAAACATGAAAATAGGGGTGGAGATTTTAGTCCAATTGTACGTAATTTAAATCTATGTACAATATATAATAATATTTATTTTATATAATTAAAAATAAAATATATAAATATTAAAAATTTGAAGATGTAATCAAATTTCTACTAAAATATTTAAAGGGTATAATAAGTAATTAAATAAAATAAAATTTTAATAAAATCTCTCCCCTCCAAATTCCCTCGAATTGGAGGGAAATATTTTTTGTAAAAAGATTGTCTCTCCTCTCTTCTAAACAAAATTGAAACAAATATAAAAATTTTTAGAATTTCCTCTCATCCTAAACCCTCGAACCTTCAAATGAGAGGAGGGGAGAAGAGATTTTAGTGAAAGGGAGGGAAGACGAAGAGATGAAAGAATATTAAAATAATAATAATGTGGTTAGTTGGTATGAAAGAGAAGTGAGAGGAGGTGAGAGAAAATAATATTTTTGATAAAATTCCCCTTCCTTCCAATTCTCAAAATAAAAAAGGAATAAAAATTAATACAATTTGTCTCCTCCACACTCTTCCCCTCTTCTTAAAAAATAATTGAACCATATGCAAAAGAAATTAGAATTCCTTCCCCTTCCCCTTCCTCTTCCTCCCATTTCTAATCCCTCAAACCAAATAGGGTCTTAAAGATATAATGAAAATTTAATATTGTTATACTATATATAATATAAAATATATATACAGAGAGACCATTAATAAAAAAAAAATTATAATAGACATTTTTGCCCTCGATTATCTTATAAGATAAAATTGTATTATATTTTTATAAGAAATTATTTTAACTTTACTTTTTTTAATTTAAATTTAAACTTTTGTGTTTCCATTAATGTATTTTTGTATTAATATTAAAAACTAGAATACATATATACATATTTATGCAATATATGTTTTATCTATTGAAAATTTAAAAATTAAATATAAAATTATTATTATTTTCTTAATATTCATATGTATACCTAATACTAGTGCGGTGATCCGTAAGTTGCACGGTTTGCTATATATTATTAAAATTATATTGTATAAATAATTTATTTTGAAAAAAAATATCTTAGTACAAAAATATAAATATTCTTCAGATTAATCAACTATTAATACAAAATTAACTAAATGAATTTTTTTTTTTTTTTTTTTTTTTTTTTTTAAATTTGCAAGAAGAGGGGACCAATTTCTATTAAAATTTGAACAAACTCACAAATTCTATCAATGTTAAAATAAAACAACAATATGTAAGAGATGAAATTTTACTTTTATTTTAGTAACTTTGTGGATCATTCTCATATTTGTGTGGTTTTTAACTTTATAAAAATTTTCAATATTATAGAATATTTGAGAAAATTCATATGAAAGTTAATAGTGTGTTTTAAGAAAAATAAATCCTATTTATATTTTTTATTCTTTATTTAGTACTTTATTATTATTATTATTATGATGTTTTTATATTTCTTTTTCTATCAACATTATTTTATTAATTTTTATATTTGTTGATTTTTATTCTAATATTCTCGTAATTAATGATATTGTTTTTTTTTAATAATTGAAATAGAAATAAAATGATCGAAAAATATGGTGAAATTAAATTCGAGTATAAATATAATGAGTAATTTTATTTTATTAATTATTTTTATAACTACGAATATTTTATATCTACTTTATTTTTTTACTTTTATTTTAAATAAAAAAATAAATAACAGTTATTAAAATTTATAGTTAGATATTTAAATTCTTAAAAAAATGAATAAGTTAATTTTATTTATTTATTTTCAATAAGTCTACTTCTTATGTTTATTAATGATTATATTAGGTATACCAATTTGTTATAATATTTATATTTAATATTATTGTAGATTCTTTAAAACTAAAATTTATTTAGCTTTTTTATCTAATATATACATATTTTTATAAAATTCATATTTAATATATTTTTAAAATTTTTATTTAAAAGTATTCAATTTAAATGTATTTTTCTCTTGTTAAAATTATATAATATTTAAATATTCTTACGTAGTACATATTGAAAGGTAGTTATATAACATTTAATTTATTATATTATGAATATAACTACCATTAATACAAATTTAAATAATTCAAAATTATTAGATTAATATTTAAATTATTAAAAAATTTAAAAATAGAAAATATACTAATTTATTTTAATTTCATTAATTACTATTTTAATCACCATTAATTACAAATTTAAAATGATTACAATTATTTTAAAATTATAAAAAATAACAAAATAACAAAAAAAAGTTTTAAGAATCTCTGGACTTACCAACATCTTCTTTATTTATATATATAGATACGTAAAAATATATTTGTTTGTTTAGTATTTTGATTTAATTCAATTTTTTTTTTTTTTTTTTGCAAAATTTTTAATAACCCCTTGTAGTTTCGAAATTCAGTCTCTCTATTTTAAAAATTACATGACGTTCTCTTACACTTTCAAAAATATTGTATTAAACCATTTTTTACATTTTTAGTGTAATGAGAAGATGATTTTTTATGTATATTTTTGCATGGCAGGGAGTTTCATATAATATTTTTTAAAGTATAAGATGAGTAAAGTACAGAGAAGTATGTCAGTATTATAAAAATAAATATTTTATGTTAATGTAAGTGTAAGTGTGAGAGAAGGAAGGAAAGAAAGTAGGAGACAGAATAAATTTGAAAAAATATAAATAATGGTATAACGATCCATTATGATAAAATTTAACGTTTGTTAGTAGAATTTAGAAGAGAAGGACGAGTGTGCAATATTTTGGAAATCACGAGTAGATTTTTTGTAATTTTAGAACTACGGGGGGTTTTCATCAATTTCGGGGGTTTTCAGCAATTTCGTAAAACCACATGCGGGTTTTATGTTATTTTTCTGAATAAATTTATATTGAATATTCATAGTTAATATATGGGTTAATTCTTATAAAATTCCAACATCACAATGTATTTTCTTGTTCAGTTCCTATGATAACTCTTGATTTTTCCATATTTTATATCTTATATTTATTTAATTATTTATTTATTTATGTTGAATTTTGGTATTATTTATGTTAATTTACTCTAATAAATGCATTTATTTCATCTTGTTTGTATAATATTAATATGTTAGTTTTTAAATGTAATTTATAATTATTTTGGTGTATAAATTAAATTA